AAACACCTAAAAGAAGACCTATTACCCTTTCCCTTAGTTTTGATACTGTTACAGAGTTGCCACAGAAAAACAAAGTTTTGAATAATGAAGTGTGGTTATGTGTAAGTAAACCATAATCTCAGGTCTCAGACTGCTCAAATGCTCATTTAGAGTTTTCAACCCTTTTGTTTTTAGGGGCACTCAGCTGGAGGAAAGGGAGCTAAAGTGCAGGTTGTTTCAGGTTGAGAATGAACTGAGGGCTCTACGAAGCCCCAGTGCAAGGTAAACAAGGTTTGGACACGTGGAAACATCAAGAGCCTCGGGTATTTGGGCATGCACATCTGCACAAGATTCAAATTAGTGCGACTTTAATGTCACAAGGTCACCTACTGTCGAGTAGAGTGGCATTTCTTAGTAGCTTTATCTGCATCACTAAAAGGTAAGCAATTAATTCTTGATTGTTGACAAAAAGGTTGAAGGCAGCCAGTCTGTGGCCCTAACTAACAAGGACACACACAAAGGAATCTTTGCGGTTTTTGATTATCCTCCCGACCCCCCGCGGAGTTGATACACAGACTTTCTCCTTGTTGCCATCCAAGCCTCCTCGTATAAACATCACCAAGCTGACTACCTGCCAGAAAGCATTCCCATGGCAACCAGGCATTCCCCCGATTGTGTTTTATTTTCTCTGGCACATACAACACATTTTGGCCAATTAAGGGTTGTGGAGGTATATGTGTTTCTATGTACATTTTTTTGTAATATTAATGCATGTTTTTCCCCTGCATGTCGCTCAACACAATATACATGACCTCAAAAAAAATAGCATGTTTTTATTTTTAGATGCAGTGCCATGCAGGAGAGTTGTTTAAAAGATTATCCACTCACCCACTCATGTGTGACAGATATATATGTAGGTGCTATGTATGCATGCACTGAGATAATGTGAAGTTACAAAGGGAGCATCACAGACTGTATATAAAAGATGGATGCCACCCACAGGTTAGTGAAGTCCTGTTTGCAAGTCTCAAGCTAAAAAATTATGGCTGTCACCATCTTGGTATTTGCAAATTAGACACGATGAGTGGAGGTCGATCTGACTGAGAAACTGAGGGACACTGCAGTTGTCAGGGAGGATTGCCTAAAACCTGCCCTGCTTTATCATCCTGTGTGACTGTCATGGAGACCAGAATTTATAAAGTTAAATTAATGTTAATACGTGAAAATAGTAGGAACATTACAAGTGCCAAAATGGTAACTGAGGCGGAAAAAGCAAATCAAGCACTCTGTGAACATGTTTAACATATAAACAACAGCTGAATCAGCAACACTTAAACTTAAAAATTAAATATACCATACCAATTATTTATTAAGATCTTTAAAATTTGGTGTCTTTGATGTCTACCAATCAGTCAAGTTTGGAATAATTTGGGATTTTCTCCAATCTTTACAGGGTCAAAACTATTCATACAGGCTCAGATGTGTGCATACATGATAACTAAAACTTGTTTAAATATCCCTTAGAAAGTTATATCTCCACCAGATGCTTTTGGCAACCATCAATAGGCTTCTGGCATAATTCTGGCTGGATATTTAAATAAGTCGGTTTCTTGGCACCTACACAGCTTTTAACCCTGGAATGAAATAGGATTGAGGTCGGAGCTTGAGGAAGGCCATTCCAGAAGCTTAATGTTAACCTACTTTATCCAATCCTAGAGCAGATTTTGTTTGAGATCATTGTCTTGTTGGGACACTCAGTTGTGTCCAAGTTTCAACTGTCCAGTGGTTGATTCAATTTAATTCAGTTGTATTTATATAGTGCCAAATTACAACAGTCACATCAAAGTGCTTTATACTATAAGGTAAAGGCCTTACAATAATAATACATAGAAAACCCCAACAATCAAAACCCCAACCCCCCAACACCCCCATAAGCAACCACTTGACAAAAGTAGGACAGCCCGTTCTCACTCCCGGGGCGTAGTATACTGATGTTTTGTCACGTCCCGCAGCGTTCCTGAGGAACGCGAAAGGTGACCTTCCGCGTTGTTATGGTCCGCGCCAGGTTATGGCTGAATTCCAGTGGAATGACGGTCCCGCGGTAATAGATGTTCCAGCCATGTATTCCAGCCCTAAACCTAACCTTATCCCTAACCCTAACCTAACCTTATCCAGCAGTTAAATGATGTAAAATAGTGTTTTCCAAA